GGTTTTTGATAATATTCGGGATATTTCCTTTCATATTTTTGCATTTTTCATCAGCTTTTGCAGCTGTCAATAATGACTATGTAAATGCCTGCTTTTTTGCATTATTACCAGAATACCAATCAACAGCACTTTTGCTATCGCCTGACTGGCTACTAAATTTCTATTCTTTTTTTTTTTTTTTTTTTGCTTTTTTACTTAAACACAACAACTACTATTATTATTAATAGTACTATTATTACTACTTCTATTACTGCTAGTTTTTATTACTGCTATTATCAGTAATCAACAACTATTGCTGTTTAATTATTATTTAGTTGTCTTTTCAATTATTCTTTAGAGCAACAATTTTTACTCCTGTTTTTTTTTTATTTTTTTGTCTAAATTTGTTTTTTTTTTTAATCATCAGATTTATCACTGTTCTTTGCTGCACAAACAAATGAGTTGAATGCGACGGTAAAAGTTTAATTATTATTGTTATTATACGCTTTAAAAATTTAAATTTCGGCATCTTTTCACCTGTACTCTATCATTTATTTTTTGTTTACTTCTGCTATTAAGCTGTTTATCTTCTTACAAGGTTTTTTTTTAAATTTTATTAACAATTGTTATCAATGAAAATTTGATAATTTATTTCTGGTTATTTTATATGTTGTTAAAAGAAAAAATTTATTGGCTATTATTACTGTATAAAATTTGAAGTACTACTGATTGCTTCAACAAACTGTAGATTAATAGCGACGTTTATTGTTCTCTGAAATAGTTGATCATTTATTTATAGTTGATAGATTATTTTGCAGAAAGACTTAACTACAATGCGAAATTCTGATCGGGCTTCATCCAGTTCATCATCCAGTACAGATTCAGAAACTGAACTGCATACCTGTTTATCGTTGTCACGACGGCAACGTTTTCAAAAGTTGTCAAAAGAACGACGTGAATGTCGAGAAACGTTTGCAACACTTCGACGTTTAGTGAATGCACAAGAAGGCCTTACACAATTGGAATTACTACAAAAGATTATTGACTATATTTCAGAATTACAGGTTAGTTTATTAAAAAAAATTTATTGTTGAATAGCAGGTAAAAAGATGCTAAAATTGTTTATTTGTATTTTTTACTATTTTCTTTTGTCCCTTTTTTTTGTCTAACTTCTGTAAAAGTGCTGACAACTGTTAATGATACAGTAGAAAGTAATGTCAGAAAAAAAAACCCACGAAATATTAGCAGTAATTAGTGTATTTTTGCGTATTTTAGGCAGTGTTGAACAGAAATGATCGAGATATGAAAGAAGACAAGGAAAATTATGAGACTGTTCAGTTGCTTGCCAATCATTCACGAAATTGTGCTGCGGTTTCGCTGAACAGCAAAGAATTTCAACGTGAATTAAGACGAATAAACGGATAGCAGTAATATGTGTTCAATGAAATATTGTCACTTTATTGTACTTTTTTTTTTTTTTT